TTTGAACACTTTTTGTGTCCAAAATTAAAATTGTCCGAAATTTTATGCAAGTAATGTAGCCTGTTTCATCAAATTTTTCAGAGTTTTGGATCTGATGGGAAAACATGTTACTTCCATACAAATCTAACATATCTCAACTCCATAGCCTTTGGTACCTGCAGTTGGATCATCTCCAAAACATGAACAGCATTTTCTGTTCAATTTTAAACATTATCTTCTGCTTAAAAAAATCTTGACTTACTTTTTGCATTGAAGATAGCTTAGAATTGCTCGCGGAGAACAGCAAAGATTTTTTCTGCAATTTACTTGCATGTTCAGCTATGATGTCATCAAGAGGACGGTCTCCTTTTGCCTGGAAAAAAAGTTGTTGAAAACTGTGATGTCATGTCTGAACAATAGATTTGTAACACGGAATAATATTACATTTCAATGAAATCACAAGTGATTGTCTATTGGTTCTACTTGATTATCTAAGAAGTCGATTCCAAACTAATACCATTGACCAGGACAGGCAGACAAGAAGTGGACAACTATGATTATCAACTATAAAGCTGTAAAATAAATACAAACTACACAGCCACCTCCCAGAGTGGACCTGCCATGTGCAGAGGTTAGGCAAGATCATTGGAAAATTTGAATCAAACCCCTATGGGAGACCAACCAGGGCATGGTTTGAGATTTAATTGACCCTTAAAAGATACCACTTTAAAACGGACATGACAGCTTTTTAATCATTCCTTCAAGGGCAACCCTAAAAAACACCTTGCTGGCAAAAAATAATGGCATTTTGCCCCCAGGTAATCTTTTAACTTGGGAGTCCCTTGCCCCACTGACTAGGCCACCTCTTCCCTAAAAATATTCCCCTGATTAAATCGATATCTACAGTTTTTGTCTTGATTACCAGTTGGTTGAGAAATTCCTCATTTTCTTTCTTCTTGTCATTCTTCTCTTGTTTCTCCAGCAAAGCTGCCTGTGCTCGGCGCAGCTCTTCCTGTTTCTGTTCTTCCTCAATTTGGGACATAACCAGAGCTTCCTCTCTTCCCTAAATAAAATTCATGACAAAAAATAAATAAAACACCAAATTATCCAGGAAATATTTGGAAATATCCCAGAGTAAGATTATACTCCACTGCACTGTGTAATATGTACATGTCAAAAAAACTGCCTCCAGTACGTTATTTGAAATAAAATTTACATCTACTACAATCAATCTGTAATGGATGATTACATGTTAAATGCTTTCTTGTAGCCTGGTAGCTCTGCAAATTAATTAATAACTCTAGTGTCCATAGTATACTCTCTCTAGAGCTGAGAAGGGATGTTTAAATCCATATTACAGATTACTCTTCCCCAAAGCGTATGTCAAATTTCCTGTGCCTGACATAAACGTCTAGGGAGGTATTGTGAGAGTTAAGTATTGTGCCCATTTAGAACCCATGAGAAGGGATGTTTAAATCCATATTACAGGTTACTCTTCCCTGAAGCATTTGTCAAATTTCCCGTGCCTGACATAAACGTTCAGAACGTATTGTGAGAGTTAGGTATTGTGCCCATTTAGAACCCAACAGTGTAACAGTGTCAGCCTGGAATTTATGTTGATCCCAAATACATTAAATACATTCTTCTCGGGCTTAGATTAATAAATACTGTCATTTTTTTGTATAACAGTACATGTATACAATTTACTGACCACTTGCATTTGCTTCTGTGCCAAAATGAGTCTTTGCTTGAAACCATTCATGTGAAATTGCATTTTGTCTGCATGTTCAGTTTCATGCAGATCAAACTCATTTTCAAAAGAAAATTTTTATGAGGACTTGTTTTGAAACAGAGGCACAAGGGAACTCGGAAATGGCCCATTATGCTCACCAGTTTGAAATTATTTTTCCTGATTAGGGTTTCATTGTCTTTTTTGTATTTGTCAATTTGCTTCTTTGTCTCCTCTACCTCATGACCATTTGCAAGATTCCAAACTATAAAGAACAGGATTGAAAATGATTATTTAAAAATAAACAAAATAGTGCTGAGCAGTTGAAAAACAAAAGACACTGTAAGAGAATTTTTCATACTGGGGTCAGTGATGAGGCATCCTGGGAAATGCTTTAATCAGAGTGTTTTTATGCCACTGAACACACTCCACTATGTTAACATAAAGTCAAATTCAATGGAAATTCCCTAACTACCTTTAGTGAACTATTTTTTATTTTTTTAACTCAAGTTCAAAACTCACACCAAAAGAAACCTGGATCATGTGTTCTAAAGGCATCCACAGTCAAGTGTCAATCAATACCCTCAGTCCACCCTTGATTGACACTCCATCCACAACCCCATTAACACTTGATCGACATCTCCGATGACACTCGATTGACACTCAATCAACATCTCAGTCAACAGTCGGTCAAGAGTCGACTCATTTTCAAAAACACCATCGAGTGTCAATCGATACATATGAGTTGGTCAGCACTCTGCGAACTAATAATCAACCACCTGTTGATTGACTGTCAATCAAGTGTAGATTGAGATGTTGATTGAGTGTTAATCTAGTGTTGACCGATTATTGACTGAGTTGTTGGTCAAGTGTCGATCAGGTGTCAATCGAGATGTCGATGGAGTGTTGATCAAGGGTTGATCGAGAGTATCGATTGACACTCAACCGTAGAATGATGCCTTTAGTTTTACAAGAAAATGTCTTAAAAGCAGAACTGCAGATATGATCATGTATCCATTAATGACACATAGGACTTACTTATGTTCTCTACATCTTCCAGATAGTCATTGTAGGCTCTTAGAGGATCTGATTCTGATTGGAAGTCATCCTCAAGCTTGTTGTAACTGCATATAAAAAACATACCACAAAATAATATTAGGGGTGATGAATGGTAAATGTGAGACTTTGAGAGAAGGTGAGACTAGCATTTCACTTTGCCAGCCCCAAACATTTTGACTTATTTCAAATTGCAAGACTGGGATTTCAAATTGTTTTAAATGCGAGTACAAGACATTCATGTTCTAAGATGTTCAGACATCATTTATAAAAACAAACAAACATATCGGACTTCAGGGCTTTTTTAGCCTCCGAGACAGCTTTGTGCAAAAATTGAGGCTGTGAGATGCACATAGCCACTAAAAAACAAAACTGCGAGACCCGTCAAATTCGACCAAAATTTTGCGAGACCCATTGTTTTTAAAGGACCATTTGCCACCCTTAAAATATGAAGAACAATAAAATGACTTGCTAAGTATTTTACTTGAAGATCATAACTCACATCTTCAAAATCCTTTTTCTGATGTCCACCTCCTTCTCAACAATGAGATCTTCAAACTGTTGGACCCTGAAGTCGTTACGTCGCAGTGCTGTGTTACATTCAGGACATGCTGCAGAGGGTCTTGTGAAAAGTGTCTCCACGCATCCTTCGCATCTTTATAGCATCGAAAGAAGAATCAATGAATTTTGATTGGACAGAGAGCATTCTCGGTTAATTTTTGTTACATTAGCTGCACAGTGCTGACCTAACTTAAATTTACTTTTAAGATTGCCAAAGATTGTGATAGGTTGATCTTTTTGCTTCAAAACTTGATCGGCAATCTGGCTCGGGACCAAAGTAAGACTAATATTGATTAACTAAATTTCAAGGTCTGGTCAAGTGCAAACTCTTGCTTTCATTTGGCATGAAACTCACAGCTGTTCTCAGTTCTCTGTTATCCTCATGAAAATTTGAATAAATTCAAATTTTCAGGAGAGTTGATGAGACGTTTTGCTACTGCCATACATAATTCTGTCACCATGTGTCCTCTTATCCTTGTTTGGTTGTAGTTGAAACAATACAATCAATGAGAGCTCAACTATATCCAAAGCTCTGGCTTATCAAGTTTGCTTCTAAGTTAATTTTAGAGTGACAAATGATGAAGATCCAATTTCTCTTTCCATGCCAATGCATCGTGACTCCGACATAAGACAAGAAAGCTAATATGGATGCTATCTTGATTGAGCTACCAAGTTCTCAGAACCAGCATTATAAGAAGTGCATAGCAATCAGCTGAGAGAATAAGTCGGATGAACATATATGATCACGAACGTACAATTTATGGCCACAAACATTCACCAAAAGCTTCAGCTTGGGATTTCTGTATTTTGTAGTTTTACATCTAGGACAAGTTTGCCAGTCATCCATGATGATTGAAGCATTTCACAACACTTAACACAATTTAAATTTACGCTTCCGCTTTCAAAGTTCCACGATCGCAGCCATTTTCACATGTTAGGACCTTGTAAGGAACATAGCCCGGGGACCAGAACCCGGGCGCGCGCACGACTTACATCAAGCTTTACGATTGGTTCTTCCAAATAGTACAGCACTTTTCATTGGTCAGTCTTGCAAAGCGTGCTTTGTCTAAACATTGTAAATGGCGGCTTGAATGGTTCGGGACGAAATGGCAGACATTAGCCTTGATACCATAAAAGACTTCTTCAGTCTTAAGCCGCTTTCTAGGACCAACGCACTGACGGACGTTAAAATAACAGGGAGACATTGGGACCAGAGTCGAAATAACGCCTACAAGCAGCCGTTTAAATTGCCAAAAAAGAATCCGCAAAGGTGAGAATTCAGACAACTCGAGCTTTTGTAGTCGGCCTCAAGCATATATCTTATATGTAGCTAAGAATTGACCGAAGATTATTCTAATTACCGTAATGATTGTTAAATGGAATGGCTAAACAGGTATTATATTTTGGAACACTAAACTTTATATTAAGCTTAATTCTGATTCTAAATAAGTCTTATGTTTACATTGTAAACATTCTAATAATTTAACACCTGTCTGAGTAGAACTCGCTTGCTGCTGAAGAAGTGATAGGCCAACTGAGTGTTGAGGCGTTTAGGGGCAGTTTCATCTCTTTGCAAACCCAGTAGTGGTTTAGGTATATTTATTTCCGTTTTTTTCTATATATATCAGCTTTGCAGACCAGTCAGTGTAAAACATAGACTGTGGACTGCAGACTGGGGATAAAATGCAGACTGAGGGTAAAGTGCATACTGCAGACTACAGACTTTTTAAGTATTTATTGTGTTGTTTCCATTATTGAGTGTTAACCACAAACAGGGTTATTCAGGCTAATTGGAGTCTGCACTCTGGTTAGCCTGGATATCACTCAGGTTAGCCTGAACAACGCACCATTTAGCCTGTTTATGGTTAGCTCTTGATGATGGAAATGGTAACACAATTCAGTTAAGAAGTTTGCAGTCTGCAGTCTGTATTTTACCCTCAGTCAAACCTGCATAATTATTCCCTGCAAAACATACACAGCTGAACCAAACTACATGTAAGACCCTGTTAATACATGCACATAGTTATTATGTGTGCATTTTTGGTGCCTTTTCCACATATTCTCTCCAGTATTACAAAATTGCCTAAACAATACAGTCACCTCCATTTTCTGGAGAATTTTAAGTAGACAGAAAATGTTATTGATAAGGTATCGTGCCCTGATTCAGAAGCACTTTGGATATGCCACACAATCCTATGAAGGGGTGACAAGCCCAGCGAGGGTCTCATTTACTTTATGGGAATGTTTTGTTCACAAGGTGCATTTTGATAGAGCCTGCATGGGGTTTACCAGTTGATGGGGGGAGTTCTATATGGAGAGTCTCCACTCCCAGGTCCAACCCCTTACCCTTTTGTATACCATTTTGACAGAAAAGGTACCTCTTTCGTGTACCTTGATTTGAAAAAAAGGTGTCATTACTGACCCATAGTATGCTTAAATTACCAAAATGGAATTTTCATGTGGTGCCTAATAAACGAAATGATACAGTCATAAGGTGCCTCTGTTTGGCATATTTTTACTTAAGGCCCTTCAAAAATAACTAAATGACAGATTTCCAAAATCCCTTGCCTTTCATATACCTGAAGCCTGAAAAAGGTATCTCTTTTGGGTAGAGCCTATCCGTATAGGCCATTATAGGGAGGGCCCTGGTATGGTGATCAGTTTTCCCTGAAATTCTTAGAACATTACCTTTTGACCTGAGGAAAGTTTGCTTTCCTCTTTTAATTCTACTATTTAATAATGTTCTTGTTTTGAATTCTTAAAGTAATGCAATACTGTAAATAGAGTATTTTACCACAATTGCTACTAATCTCACGATCTGATTGACTAATTTGCCATTGTCGATACGAGTCCAGACAACGCTGCTCACGTCAATGTGTCATGCAATGCCTTCTTCAGCTCGCACTCTGAAAGAAAAACCCCATTTTCTCTGACATTGATATTGTGGTAAAAAAACGAATTGAATGTGGTTTAATAGCATTGTCTGTACTCTTGTGGACAATGATATGTTTTATCACAGTGGTTGAACTTACTCGGCTGCGTCTCGTGAGTCCACAACATTTTGACCACTGTGATGACACGTACTCGTTGTCAATAAGAGTACAGACAATTACTAAACCACATTCGCTTTGTTAATTTTTTGAACATTTTTTTGTAGCCCTCCACCATCACCTGCATATGTTGGGGAGTATTGCTCAACTGGTCCTAAGCTGGAAGATCTTTATAATGAACTGGAACAACTTGAACTTGACCCACCTTTAGGGGCTTCTGATGAAATACCTGCGGCATTGAAAGAGGAGGAGGCTACGCATATTTTTGAGAACTACTCTTTTGATCACACCTATTCTCCAGACCTTCCCATCACATCTTATCGCCAGCAGATTGTTGATACTGTTGAAAGCAATTCAGTGACCATTGTACAAGGTGTGTTATAGGGTTGAATAAAAGCGTACGTCAGTATATATACAAGAAATTTGTTAGGTAAAGTCTGTTCAGACATAGTGATACACAGTACATGTACATCATGAGGCAATGCTTGCTACATGTATTGTATTTCCAGTCTCAGTGTATATTGTATGAAGTGACTTTTAGAGGAGTACGTGTAGTTCTACTTCACTCTGGATGAGATGTCAGTCAGTTGCTTTCCATAATTACAGTATTATCCCTGGTGTGTCTTGTCTGTGAGCACAATACAAAGTGGTCTCAGCCAGAACTATAACTTGGGTCTCTCAATTTAGAGTTTGGCATACTAGCCATTTAGATCAGGTTGACACCACATCTCTTCCAAAATGATATCCATATCTCATGAAGGGTTTTTTGGTTTCAACACCTCCCTCTTGCACCAATTTCTCTGGCAATTCCAGTTTTTATTTATGTATAATATACATGTCTGTACAAATTATATAGGATATTTCATGATGTTAGGTTAATTTTATTTTTATTACAAATTTAGGTGCTACCGGTAGTGGCAAAACAACTCAGGTCCCTCAGTATATTCTGGACGAATATGCTAAGAACCAACGTTATTGTAACATCATTGTAACTCAACCAAGACGTATTGCCGCCATAAGTATTACCAAGAGAGTTTGTCAGGAGAGAGGTTGGACACTGGGTAGTCTTGTGGGTTACCAGGTGGGAAGGGACAAGTGTCTCAGCGAGGACACCCGTTTATCTTACGTCACGACTGGTGTGCTGCTCCAAAGGTTAATTCAGTCCAAGAATATGAATCAGTACACCCATGTTTTTCTGGATGAGGTGCGTTAATTTTTCTCCAGCTAAAGAATAAATTTGGCTTGTTTTCTATCTCTGTCTAGAGTCTAATCTTTAATTGTCATTTGGGGAAAGAAGCATGTGGTCATTGCCCTTAAACAATGGTTGTAGTATTTGATCCTCAGAAATCCCTTATACATGTAATTAATACAAATTATTAAACACTGGATCAGTGGATAATGCAATTTGAGAGTTTTCATTGGCTTATCCATCATGGTACATGAGCCATTACACCATGCTCTACAAATTTGGTAACTGTATGCATAATTTCTTGGGGCATTTTTATTTTTATTTTATTTTACTTTTCTATATTTTGCGGGCATTTTTAATGAAACAATTATTCCATTTGTACTTATTGGATATGAGATGATCTTGGCAAACTTGGTGCTGCATGCCTTGTTGGCTATATTCTACCACTTCATATCCAACGTGAGCTTGTGGAATAATTGACAGTTAAATATACAGTCACATTTTTTCAGGTTCATGAGCGTGACCAAGACTCAGACTTCTGTCTCCTAGTGGTGAAAAAGTTGTTGAGAACAAACTCAAGGCATGTCAAGGTATGCTTGTTACATAATATTATAAAAGTACATAATTTTATACAGGTATGTGTCTCTGTTTATTGTTTGTCAGAGTGAACCAGTTGGTATGACCATTGAATAATGGTAGGCATTTTTCCAAAATCGGCAAACCAACTGAAAGAGATGGTGTTTGCCATGTACAATTTAAAGATTTTCCTTAATATTGTATTGGGTCAAAAAAAAAAAAAAGACTGGGAACTGGGATAGTCAGGAAATGGTTCCAAATGGCAAGGAAATTTCTGCCATTCTGTTCCAAACTAAAGAAGAGGACTTTGTCGTAAGATAATCTCCAGTTTCTGAATGGATTTTCCAGAAAATTGCTGCAGTTCCATTTGACCTTTAGTTAAGAAATTTTTAAGATTTACTATCAGCACATTTCCAGCCATCTGGAAATGACTTAATTCAGCTTGGCATATTTTGTAAACATTGAACAAATTCTCAAGAGTAACAAGCTTTGATTTCTGCAAATTAAATTAAGTTAAGGCTTTATTAGGATTTACCAAGCCACTGATATTTTCCCCAACAACAAGGAGAATAATCATTTATTGTAAATTTTGGATCTAAAACACTGGAAGTAATGTTTCTTCAATTTATTTTATGGTTATTTTGTTTAGTTTTAAAGTTATTTTCATTATTAACCATACTGATTTGTGTTGTTGTAGGTTATCCTGATGTCAGCCACCATTGAAAGTGATCTTTTTTCAATGTACTTTGCTGTTCCTGTGCGTGGCAGAGTAGAGGGAGCCCCTGTTGTCAGCGTAGATGGGAAGTCCTTCCCTGTGGTGGAAAGTTATCTTGATGATCTTAAAGATATTGGAGTAAGTTTATGCCTGATACCTTTCTAATCTTTGTGTACTTTATACACAAAAAAGTAGGGTTATCTCCTTTCAGTTTTGAAGAGGGAACAGATACTTGTCTTGGACATCATTTGTTGAACAAAAAGCAATTCAGTCTCCAAAACTCAAGGAAAACTGTGATTTATGAGGAGCAACTACTGGCCAGGAATAATGAAAGTAGAAGTTTTGTGGCCCGGTAGTGAAATTAGCTTCTGTAGTCTTGTGAGCATGAGGGAAAACATCAGCTTGTTAAATCATTACATGTAATTTATAGCCAAAAACTATATCTGATTCTTTAGACTGCGAAATGAGGCTGCACAATGTAAAGTACACATACTTCTAGAAGACCAATCTTGTTCATACAAGATTTGTAAGTACAGTGGAACCCTGCTGTATGGTCACCTCGTCAATGCAGTTACCTTGTTATTACAGCCCCCTTTTTTGTTAATATTGTATGTACTGATTTAAGTTTCAATTGTTTTTAGAATCATATCTGCATTCTGGATGCTAATGAAAGTACAGTTGTTTAGAAGTGCAATTGTGAATCATATATCTGTTATGACTTCACTCAATTTAGGCCAGTCATGAAATTTGACCCTACCCCTTTAGGCCACCCAGTTTATATGGCCAAATCTTCATGGCCCACTGGTGACAGTATTAACAAGGTTCCACTGTATTTTGATGTTTCATCATTGTTCATATTAGGAGCTTGATCATTCATCATTTTTATCAACTGAAGATTTTATTTTAATTTGACATTGCCAACAGATGCTCCCAGACGTTACTCTTGAAGAACCAGGTATTGACAGAGTGGGGTACGAGTTGGCAGCTCGGCTTGTATACCATCTTGATGAACTGGAGAGAACTAGCAACACAAGGTTAGCTTGCCGTTTCTATTGTCTTAAGATAGCATGAATGTGTGGAGAAGCGTTCTCCTGCCCTTTAATGCTTGTCAATGATTAAGTCCCCTTTACGGAGATAACGTGTATGTGTACATGAGTAGATATTTGCTCTGATTGGTGGACAAACTTTGATATCACAATCAGTGTTTAGATTGCTACTATCCAATAATGATATACAGGTATACGGGTACTCATTGCACTTAATTAACCTGCAATCCCTTTGGCCTGTACTGTAATGTGTGCAGTACCTACATGTGTGTAAAGTGGGTGTAAAATGCGTGTACAGTAGTATAGGTGTAAAATATGTGTAACGTGCGTGTAATTACACGTGTGCAAAATTTAGGTTGGAGTTGGAGTTACATGCATTCGGGTGTAAGTTTAGCGTATGCATGTATTTAAATTGGAGGAAGACATCCTTTATTATTCACACACAGATTTGCATGTATTTTGACACCCTTCTTGTGTATATTTTTGTATGTTGATTTTTTAACATTCTCTCGACAGGCAAGGTTCTCGTGGGACTGTCCTAATGTTTCTGCCTGGTTAGTACTGTATGGCTTCTGAAGTTAAGACAAAAATGCTAAAATGTTTTATAAACTTTGCAACACCCTCCTAATCACTGTAAGACTAGAATTGAATGTAAACTTGAAGTCTAGTCAATGTGAAGTGGGACATTGTTTTCTCAATCATACTCTGTAAAACTAAAATCTTACTTAAAAGCTGACATAAGTTGTCAGCTACATGTATTGTTCTGATGCTGAGGTAAGAGGAAAAATCTTAAATTAAGATTTTAATTTTTTTGGAGTAAGTGTATCACTGTGTATTTTTCAACTACTTGTGTACAGTAGCAGTTAAATAGAAGTTCTTTGCTGGTTAAGCACAAGATCAAGCAGTTCACTTTCTTTTTGTTATTAGGTTATTTTGAAATTGAACAGATGGATCATGTCTTAGATGAGATCTGTACAGATTTGATGTAAGTAATTGCATAAATATAACTGTAGAAAATTCTACAAATGCTATATGAGAATCTTTGCTGATGTCTTTGTTTACATTTTTCCCAATTAACATACGACTTTGTGCAGAGAAGGCATCACACTAGATAGGAATTGACTACAAACTATTAAAGACGTTGCAAAACTTGGTAATTGGTGAAATTTTGGCTCTTTGGATGAAATATTCGAGGAGAAATTGGCTTTCAAAAACTGCCTAATTTCTGGGCAGCAAAAGCGCTAATGAGCTCATACATTCTTTGTAAAATTTTGAGTCTTCAAACTTGTGTCACACAAAAGTATTCAATACACCGGGCTCAAATTACTTGGGACAGTTAATCGTGCTGTGCCCTTTCAATATTCAGAACTGATGTTTTTGTAGCTCTATCAGAAACTCTATTGCTTGTGCTAATGAGGCAAAAGAAATTATTGTAAACAAAGATTCTCCTGTAGACATCACTCATACATGAATCTGCTGCATGTGGTGCTTCATGGACATCTGCTGTACCTGGATGAGTTGTTAAACTATTACAGGCTGGCCTGCAACATACCTTATTACATGAAATTTTCACGACACGTTAATTTCGGAATTTCGCGATTTAAAAAAAATTTAATGTTGCAAAATTAACATGACGCGAAAATTAAGTGACTCACATTATGTCAATAATTAAAAAAGACACTTTATTACCATTACACACATTTATAACAATCATTTTGAACTATTCAGTGGTAATGTTCTGGTCCTCTTCATCACTACTGCTTTCCGTCTCCACTCCAGGTAGCCCTTCTTTTGTACAATCCTCAAACTGTTCATTTACAGGCTCCTTGTAGTGCTGTTCCACTAGTTGCTTAAACCTTTCAATTGCTTCAACGTTCTTAGGAGATGCCTCCATTCTTACTGTCGCCTCTGGAAAAGACGTGCTACCGCCTGTTGATCTGTATCAAGACATTTACACAAACAATTAAACGGCATNTATAAATGGGTACCCGCAAATTGTTGGGGATACCTAACAAACTGCGGAGGAACCTGCGATGGACTAGCATCCTGTCCAGGGGGAGTAGAAATACTCCTAGCTGCTTCATGCTACAGAAACCGGGATGAGCTCTGGCAGCTATGAGCCATTCGGCTCCAAGGCTTCACTTTTTTCTATGTTGTAAGTTGGAATCTGACTGTTTTACTTTTTTTTTTTCTTTTTGTTCAGGAGTGGAGCATGTTGAAGAGGCGAAAAGGATTCACAAAAGTATGTCAGAACATTTTGATGTTGATAACATGTGCTAAAAGATGTGAAATATGATTACATACCTATATGAGTGCGTTGAATAAGATTTGAAGTACTGTAGGCATTAGGCGCAGCTCTTATCAATAATCAACAGAGAGCTTAAGCAAACCACAGTGGGTACAGCAACAAGAATGTCAACAAACAAAAGATTTAATGAGTAGAACGGTAGCTGTACACATGGTTTCTATCGCGTGATAGTTGACGAGGGTGCATTTCTTAGCTTTCTCCCACAAAACAATGACATGAAATGATTAAAAGAGTAAAAGAATTGAATTGAATTACATGTAAGTTCTGAGTATTTTGGAGAATGAAAACAACAGTGGCTTCCTTTGGAACTGGATACCAGGATTACATATTTAGCTTGAGCTAGTTCTGAGACCAATAGGTGTACTGAACAGACCTAGACAATTGCAAAATTCTAAGGTGAAATATAAATTCATTATTCACTAGGTGTTGTCCTTGGGGTCAGCATCGTCATTGCTTAAGTTCTCTACTAAGAGAGGCCCATAACGACTTCCTCTAGAGGGCCAATTTGAATTTCAGAAAACTGCTATCATCATAGCTGGTAATCCACAGCAGAATGTGTGTTGGAGCACTGGTTGGTGCCAGGTCCCGTTGAGAGCACTGCTTTAGTTAATGATGGCTATGTACATATATAAAACTCTGTACCTGTCACTTATGATTAAATATGCATTTATTTTCTTATTCAGATTTTGTTGATTATTGTTGGTATTAATTTATACATGGAACTATTTGCAGGGAGAAGTAAACTGGAGTCAAGGGAATATGATTCAGCTGGGTCGCATAAGAGAGGTCTGAACACTTCTACCATATCATTTTCAGAAATCCTGTACAGGTCCATCTTTCTAAAGCAAATACGAGTATATATGATTGGTTGGAGAGTCAACTATCTGCTTTAAACATGCTACCTGTATTTACCATACCCTTAAGAGGAAAGGGGATGCTGTGGACCTTCAGTCAGTGAGATATAGAGAATGATGCATGAATAGGGGTAGATAAAAAGTCAAAAATTCTTTCTTTGTGTGTTTAATGTGCGAGTATCAAGTATCATTGGTCAGGGAGGCAGATATCAAGTTGAACACTTGCTGGTTTGTAGAGTAACTTCCAGTTTCCAGACAACACGACACAAAGTAAAAAAGGAAATAACAATAACAAATAGCAATAAGTTATCATTATCATTATCATTATCATTTCTGTTATCGTTGTCGTTATCGTTATCATTATCATTATGTCCTTCAGGTTGAGCAGCTTGTGGAAGAATTGACTGAAAGACTCAAGCAGCTTAATCTGCGAACAATAAGACCTTTGCATCAAAAGTGAGTTATGACCTTCTCGGTTTTCATGATTGTACATGTATTTTATTAAGATAAAGTCTGAGAGTGAACAGCGGTACGTGTAACAAGTCAGTGTCTACTTTACAGGGCCACCACACAGGAGTCTCTTCTCATTTTAAAGGTGAGTGGTCATTCTCACTGGCCATAGACCCTTTTCATCAATGGCTGCCAATTTAAAATGCTTTTGTGTACATTTCAAATAACCTGCCTTCGCAGAACTTGTTTTAGACTTGCAACAAGTCAACCTCACTAGTTTCAGGGTAGAAGAGCAAAGTGAGCAAAGCAAGGTTTTAGGCCTAACCTCGTTTGAGAGTAAAAATTCCTTTTGAATTATCAACCTAAACACGAGGTTAGTAAGGCCAATTTTTGATACTTACAAAAGAACTGGCAGCTGTTTGTTTTATGAAAAGGCTCTATGTACTTTTTTTTTTGTCAAAGAAGCTGGGTTTTTTTCTATGTTGCTATTATGGTCCATCTTAAGACACTGTCATCTGATGCATTATGTTCTTACCCTAACTTGCGTTGAGAATTGCAGTTTTTGTTCTGGTCATAGTTGACCCATAGGGGTCATGATCTATAAGCCAAGTGTTGTGACTCTGTAGTTAAGTCCAATTGTAAAACTTCATTTACTTTACAGCTTGTGATCTGCGGTGCATTCTATCCAAACTACTTTACATCAAGTGACATTGATGAAGCTGAAGTAATGAAAGCGATGTCTGGTCATGATCCTTTTACCACTGTTATAGTATGTATCGAGTGCAGTTCCAAACAGTGATCAGCACATAAGTTCTTCTAAATAATGCTCACATAGTGTCAAGTGGGTAGGTGTTGAGAATTAAACAAACATGTGAACAATGAGCATCAGAACAGCAAATAGCTTTCAGAAAATTTACACCAGTTCAACTTCATAGTAACCAGAGCATCCTTGTTCCAGGATTATGCGTACTGCAAGTACACTTTACGCAGAGCAGATCAAAATTAGGAGAGTTACATGTGCATTCTGTGGCAGCATTATACTTGTCTGCAGCATGCAGAAAAAAAACGTCTGTCTGTGGCTGGGAGATCTTGCAGTAATTCTGTTTAGTTTCGTGGGAAAGTTTTTGAGGAAATTCAAATAGGCCATTTTCGAGTTACCTTATGCCTCTGTTTCAAAATGAGTCCTCATGCAAAAATGAGTTTGATTTGCATGAAATTTAACCTGTGTGGGGAACACATTTTCATGTGAATGGTTTCACATGAAGACTTTTTTTGACACAGAGGTAAAAGGCAACTCAGAAGTGGTCTGTTGGCATAGTGTTTGAATGTGCTGTAAGAGAATTAAATTTGGGCTAGTGAGACTGACTTTCAGTCAAGTACATCAGATGTGTAGTTATGTAGAGCTTGCCCATAGGGTACTCCTGAAAATTCGTTTTCCTTGCACTCTGAATGCTGCGACAAGAGTCCGAATACTTTTTCATGGACTCAAATTACATTAACCTTGGCAAAGAAATTGTTCTGATGCTGAGAACTGATTTAGGTCAGGAATATGCCTCCCCATGGTGCTCTGTACCGGTCAGCGATTGCAAGAATGTTCAGGCAGTGTGGTAAAGGCAAAGCTCTGTACTTTGAGGAAAGCAGGTTAGTTGATCCTAGTCTGTGAGCCGTGCTAAACCATTAAGTTGGTTTAGCTTCTTGGAGAGTTTTTTAGTCGAGACCAGGTTGCAAATTTTCTGTAACCTGATGTGACAAGAATCAATGATTTTAAGGATGCCATATGGTCTAGAGGTTTTAAACTCTTACAGGCTATTCTCAATATGTGGTGAAACAAGCTTGAAATGCACAAGAGCTTGGCAAATGAGTGAAAACATCATCATAGCTCATTTAAGATTTGGTGAAAGCATCATGAAAGCTAGTGGTTGAGTGCAAGAGACTGGATGCACTCTTATCCTTAAGGCCGGTCTCTTGTGTCTGCTCTGAGTAGCATAGTACTATTCAGTCATGAAGCCATGATTGATCATCACAGTTATACACACAACTTTTAAGTTGTGTGGATCAAAGCAGTTGTGAAATTAAAGCCTGAAAAAAAATTCAGGCTTGAACGGGATCGAAGCCATGACTTCTGCGATACCGGTGCAGTGCTCTACCAACTGNAAGAACAAAAACTGGTCAAACTGCAGTTATGTATTGGCGTAGCATGGCTGAGTTCAATTCCTCCACTCTTAAAACTGGCTGGTATTGTTCTCACTAGCTCCGTCTAAAACTCCCTGTTGCTTTTGTAAAATGGCCACCTGCCGGTTGAAATCCTATCTATGTTGTCGTTGCTATAGTGGTCAGTGCCCTTAGTTACACCTAGCTACGTCACGGGCATGCCACTTAAACTGAGAGAAACATTCATGTCAACTACACAAGCAACTGGCGGGAGGCAGACCAGTTTGCTATTTACAAGCTTGACGGAGGGGTTGAACAAGGGTCTACTGAGTAGCAACTCCAGCTTGGTGGTCAAAACGGGACTTGAACCCGCGACAGCCGCATTTCAAGTCAGGCGCCCTAACCACTCGGCCACGCTGTCTTCTCCACTCCCTATGTTTGCTTCTTTTCGTACAGTGATTTATTTCAATGTTTATTGACGTTGGCCAGTAAGGTATTGACACGTGCATGTCGTTGTTTCCGTTTCATTTCAGGTGATAAACGCTGGCCACTTCTGGGCTCAGAAACCTGACAGCGAGTCTGCGAGAAAGCTACAAATGTTGCAAGAGAATATTAACATGTACGATGGTAGAAACCTAGAGGTATGGTCGCCGTCGTATTGCCGGGGAGGGGGGTGTTAGGTTTGATTTTGACCAATCATAAGCTAAACAGTGTTATAACAGCTAGCAGAGCCACACGTAAGCACGTACACGTAAGCCTGCATCATAATCCAATGATGAACGTTCGTGACTTGAACAGACATGACTCGCTTCGCGAGAGAAATTTATTTCCATTGGCAATGTGATAAAACAGTGGATTTGTTCTTCTATCTGTGCATCACTGAGTTTTAATACACCTGGGAAGTTTGGAGAGCGCTCAAGAAACTAGAGTTTTTACCACAGCAGGTACGGCTGGGTCTCGAGTAAATGGTAGAATGTCCACGAGGTGCTCATTGTCGCGTTCATTTTGCAACCCTCACCCTAACGATTTTGATCAGTCGAACCAAATGCACCGATGAAGCTACATGTGTATGTCAAAATTGTTCGCTTTGAGCTTATGATAGACGTTTGGTTGTTTAGAGACATGCGCGGTACATGGTCATGCTACAGAAACCGGGGTTAGCTTCGTCCTGATGGGCCACTTGGCTCGTATGCAGACTTTACCTTTTACTTTTTATATATTTTTTTTAGCGCATTGAAAAAAGGGACCTCTCTGTTGGCACACTATGTCTGGCTTTATACGCTGAAGATGAATTGTTCTACAGAGCCAGAATCCTGGCCATCCATGATGGAAAATTTCTTAGTGTGGAGGTACGTCAAGGGGGGTTTTTGCCAGCCGCTGTCGTGTGCTAAATAAAATTTACTTAGGTAGAATGCACCTTTCCTAAAGAAGTGACGGAAAGTTATAGTTGGGTGTGGATGTTTGGTAATCAAGTACTGCTTAGTAGCTTTCATTTACATGGTCATACACCAGGTGTTATCTGTAAGCTTATCTGTAAGAGTCAGAACCACATTGCAATAGACATCATTACATGAAAGTACTACTCGACAGGTTCCATTTGAATGGCCACACACTAGAATTTCATTCAGACTCAAGAGTAAGAACCACCTTGTACAGCGTAATAAACAGTACCACATGAAAGTACTGCTTAATAGCGTTCATTTGAATGGTCTCACACTAGGGTTTCATCCATAAACTCAAAAGTTAGAACCACCTTGTACAGCACAATAAACAGTACCACATGAAAGTGCTGCTCGACAGCGTCCAAACACACTGAGGGTCCGTTCGTGGACAGTTGCAACAGTAAGATGAGAAATAAAGATAGTTCATGGAACGCTGTCCATCTTGATAACTAAACTGCAAATTAAGCTTCCAAAGATGGCATAATATGGTTGGAACGTGGTCAAGATGTTTTAAGAAACTAGAGTGGAAAACTGATTTCTCGAATCTTCGATTTTTTTAATCTCCCGACAACTCGAACCAAAGAGTCGTTTCCCCCTTTCCGTCGAACACTGTTATTTTCCCCCCGATTTCTCAACCAATAGACCGTATTCCTATTCTCGGTATTGGACTGGAACTAGCTTGCAGTGGAGGCTCGTTCGGGAGAATATCATTAAAAAGAGATTAATGTGATTTGCATTTGAAAAGACTCCCTGCATTAGCCTTGGTTGCACGCTAGTTCCAGTCTAATACCGAGAAAACTATTGTGGCCTGTTTTGGTTTCCCTTTGGAGCGTCGAAAAATTGGGATTCCGCTGAACGTTTGTTTGTGATCACTTTGTACAAGGAGAAGATGTACTTTTTATCAGTTTTTCTAACACGTATTTTAAATGTTTCTAGGTTCTTTACCTGGACTTTGGCAACGAAGGAGTGGTCAAGCTTGGTCATCTGAAGAAAATGAAGAGGGAATTTATGAACCTTCCTTTTCAGGTGTGTGCAGTGTGAGACAGGACTCGAAAATTCCATTGTGATGACGTAGCTTTACAGAGATCTGATTGGTTGTTGCTCAAATGTGAATTTTCGGGCGCAAATAACAACCTTTCACTAAACGAATCTTTTGTTTTCACGTAAATGGAAGAGAAATTACTTTTTTAACTTTTTTTTTCAAGAGAAATTACTACAGACCCAATTTTTGTTATAAGAAAATCAGCCCTCAATCACTTTTGGCTTCTTTAGTCCCTTTACTTCTTGCAATTTTTTGAGTGATATTTCTTTTTTTTTGTTTCAGGCATTTGAGTGTAGACTATGTGAAGTTGCCCCCATGCCCTTTGCCCATTGTCCTGTGGGCGCATGGTCTCCCAGAGCCACTCAACGGTTTATACAGCTTACAGAAAACAAGAAACTAGCTGCTAAGGTATTGCTTTCTTCATACAGTTGTTCTTGATTTATATAACTGCATTTTCGTGGTAGCTATTTATTGTGAAATGAATAACCCATTATAACTTTGTATCTATGGTGGTCACGCGCTGGTAGTTAAGTAAACTGTGTGATGCATGTCGCAGAGGGCACATCTCTCCTTGAAAAAAAAAGATCTCGTCACGTTTTCCACGTACTGCACAACAACAAAGAATCTGACTAGACTCGATCTTAAGACCAATGCCTTAACCATTTGGGTGCTTAAAGAAGCTCAGTCACGGTATTTTGAGTTATTTTGGCCACATACAAAAGTACCTTTAAATTGAAGGATTCCTGGAAATAGTAGGTCAGTAGGATACAAAAACATCAAAGAGATGATAATAAACCATAAAGGAACAGAGATGGTTAAGGATGGAGAAGATTTACACGGATTACGAACAACGACCTTGAAAAATTCAGGATAAACTTTTTAAGATGCGCAAACCGTGATGTAGCGCCTTTAACAGTAACATTATGATAATGTGTTTGTCTAGGTGTACTCCTTGGTCAGGAACGTGCTTAACTTGGATCTGTACGACACCAGCACTGAGGAGGACGTGCACATCAATCAAGTGCTCATAGACGAAGGTTTTGCTCTATTTCAAGAAGAGTCTCGAGCATCCAAGGTAACAGAAGCACACTTTTTTACCTACAACCATGAACAAGTTGTGTTGAAAAACATAAAATAATAACTTAATACCTACAGAATAAGTGTTCCCCCTTTCAGTGTTGAAAATGGTAAAATGCGAACTTGTGTTAGATGAAAGTGTTTTGTCAATGTACAGGGGTGGGGAGGGGCAAAATGCGCAAAGAATGAAGTCGTCCAACCCTTGTGACAAAAATAATGGCAAATGACCTGTGGCACCTGATCTGGAACTCAGATTTCCCACGGCCAAGAAAAACAGCGAGAGATCTGAGCACGAGATTAATCTGAGTCTCACTGCGCGGAAGCAAAAGAGCTCACTACTTAACCGAAGTTTCTGTTTGCCTGCGACAGATGGCTAACCAGAATGCTTCCTCTGGTGAGGGTGTACCAGCTGATGACAACACAGCCTGGATTGATCCATGGATTGAAAATGAGCCTGATCCTCGCAATGATGTTGTAACCAAGGTAACAATGCGGCACGCTCAAGTCATGTGAATATCACGTGCGCGTCATGGGTGTGTTGTGTGCGCTTCGCCGGTGAAATTCTCTGTCTGAAACTTCCCGTAAGAAATGATTCTTGAATCTGGTAAAGTCTACGGGGTAGACCTGTGCTTTCCAAAAATCCAGACCAAATGCGTTTTATTCAAATTGTGAAAGCAAAACGGGCAGGCAACATTTGAGTTAAACTGTTGCGTAAATCTAAAATCACAAATTCCCCGTTCCTTAGAACCAAGAGGATGACACAAGTGAAGTTATGAGAATCGAGAACCATGTTATACCGGTTTGTTTCAGGGAATTTGTATAGGTAATCGAATGAATGCGAGTGCAATTAATAGTTTACACTACGAGTGATATTTCAAGAATTTTCAAATACCACGAGTAGTGTAAATCCCTAATCGCTTGAGCTTTCATACGATTACTCATTTACTATATGACCGAGAAAGTTACGAAATTGCGTGCGTTAATTTGCACTGCAGTGGAAATAAAAAATTAACGGACAATTTGCCTGTTGTCAGCCAATCACAATGAAGTAATTTTCTCAGTCATTCAGTCATAATGAATATAATGATATTAACAATAACATTACCGTTCAGTGCACTGGAAACTCTGTTAATCACATACCTGGATTTTGAGCCCTGGAGTTCGAGTGATTTCCAGCGAATAGACCATTTTCGTATTTTGAGGCTAATGTGGGGAGTCTTTTCAAATGCAAATGATATTCATCTCTTTTTAATGATATTTCCCCGCATAAGCCTCCATTACAAGCTAGTTTCAGCCCAATACTGAGAATACGAAAATGGCCTTTTGATAGCACCAAGTAATTTTCATTTCTTGTTTACCTGGACTCTTATGATCAAGTCTAATGTTTAATTGACTGAAGCTGCACGATCATTTAACATTTTAACATATTTTTAACAGGTAACTCTCCGAGGACCTGAGAGTCCCATTGAAATGGGTTTCTACAGTGTGACCAACATAGGACGGCTGAAGTAAGAAAGTCTGCGTGTTGCTATCCATTGTATTTACATGTTTTCCGCCTCCGCGAAGCTAGAGGGGGGCGCAGTGGCCTAACAGAAAACGAGCTGGACTACACACTGAGAGGTGTTGGCTCGACCCCTGGCCGGGGACATTGCGTTGTGTTCTCGGGCAAGATACTNGCAAGTTACCTTAATTCGCACTTGCCCGATGGGCAAGGGCCCAGGCAAGTCATCTGCAAACTAAATTGCAATTAAAGTAAACTAAGACGTGCCCAGGGCAAGCAATATTTGAGAGCTGCTGGTCTTAGGTGCAAGCTGGAATTTAAGTTTTTTTCGAGCGCTTGGAAGTAGGTTGGCGTTAAAGTTTGCCCTTCCTTCTCTAATGAAGAGGAGAGTTAATTTTGCGTTCAAGGTTTATTAATGTTCTGTGGATTGCTTAACAGATCAACTCGCTGCGTACGGCCATCAACTTGGCATTCCAGAGTGAGCAGCAGATGGCTGAGTGGGGAACTCCAGCTGTGGAGAGAATTCAGAAAGCTAGCAGATCCAAGATCTTAGAGTATGCTTTACTGTTATTTCAGTGTATCAGTGATCTCATTTGTGTTCTTTGTAAGCTGTGTTTTTTGGGCAAGGGAAGGCGCGTCCCATCCAGGGGGGAGTAGAAATACTCGTAGTCGCTTCATGTTACAGAAACCGGGATACGCTCCGGCCTGATGGGCTACTTGGCTTGTATGCAGACTTTACCTTTTTTACCCTGTTTGGTGGCTAACAGCGGACAAGGGCCACTGCCCTCTTTTCAACATGTTATCGAGAAACTCCACGACGTGACTAGATCGTAGCAAACGGAACAAAGAAGAACAGTGCATGTCAATTGACAGGAAGCCAATATGAAGTAAGGCTCGTTAGCGTTGGCAAATGAGGATGTGGATTGAAAAATTTAAATGTAGAAACCCTAATGGTAATGGTTCGATTTCGTGAAGCAATGTTCGGCAAACGAAAGGGAGCCAAAGTGGGCAAAATATCTGACATAAAATGGATTTAAAATTAGATAAACCTGAAAACGCGTATGTTTGGCTCAAGTTCCAAACCCAGAGGAAATTTGCAATACTCTTGCTCTTGAACGTAATCTTATTTTATTGTTTTTGTTTTTAAGGCTTGTGCTAAAACGACGGGAAATCAAAACTCCTTGCTCATTTCCCAGAACAGGGCTCTGGAATCAGGTAATTCCGATTGTTGTTTTGTGTTCACGCGTTGAGATAAACTGAATAAGTTGGCCTGTTCCCAATGTATGTCTTCATAATGTCTTCATAGCTCAGTTGGTAGCGAGAGCAATGCAGCGCTAACGCAGAGGCCAGGGGCTCGAATCCCGCTGAAGCCCTGAAATATTTTATCAGGCTAAATGTACAATTGCTTAAATAGCAGTGAAAACTGCGATGGTCCCATCCTCTTTTCGTTTGAATTTCCGCTCTTCGCACCATTTATTCCAATTCTTACTACAGTGAAAGCGTTGAACTCTATTGGATTTAAGCAGACTATGACTTGGAAGTTTTCCTATTCTTGCAGATCGATCCCGCTTACATTCTGCACGCAGGAGGGGAGGGTGAAACAGATGCAGGCCTCCTTTACACTTTGCACAAGGGCGTTGCCATCTCTGGCAAGCCACTGGATGATGAAGATGAGGAAGCCAGGCTTAAAGTGGCCGAGCTCCGAGAGAAGATAGAGTGGCTTAGAAGTTTAGAAGGAAGGTAACAAGAGAGCGAGTAGATTACTCTTCTTCTTTCCGCGCAGTACCCCCGCTGGAGCAGTTTTGTGGTAAATTCACGGAGGCAAATGCTGTGACGGGATACAGTGG